TTCGGATTGTTTTGACTGATGACTTATTAAATTGGTTAATTTTTTTAAATAGAATCTTTTTTGAAAAATAGAACCTTTTGTTAAAAATAGAATCTTTTCTTTGTTAAATAGAATGTTTTTCAAAAAATGAAATATTTTATTTAAGAAAAATAAAAAAAATAAAAAGATTCTAGAAATATTTCTTCAACATCAATTCAATAGAATTATTATTTTCTTGCATACTGAAGGCAAATATAAAGGTCTTATCAATAATAATACTATAATAATAAAAAGACTTTGTCAAAAGTACACTGTTAAAAATTTCCGTCAAAAAAACGGAAATTTACTCCATTATTTCAACGGAAAGTATCCGTATGTCCATGTATGGATGTATCCATCCTTTATGTACGGAAATTTTCCGTCTTTATAACTAAATTTTCAAATACGATAATTTCCGTTGTATTTATAAATATAACATAACATGTTGTATTTATAAATATAACATAACATAAATATAACATAACATGTTATAACAAAATGTAATATAAGATGTTAAACTGCCATTAGTGAAGATTTTTAAAAGTTATTTAAAAATCATATTATTTTTCTAAAAGTTATGTACACATTTATCTCCAAAAAAAAGTTCTGAAGTCTACCTGCAAGGCGAAGAAGGTTCAGCAGGTATTTTACTATAAACTGTTCAATTTTTTTTAATTTCAAAATTACATGAGCTTTATTTGGTCCCTGGATTAAAGATTATGAACGAGAACGAGATTATTTTTAGTAAGATTCTTGACACAAGACTTGTGCATTCTAATTTCAAATTTGGTTTATTTAATTAATTTAAGTTTATTTAAGTGCACGTACATAACATGATCAATTGATCACTTCAAATCCACGGAAAAAATTTACATGTTGAAATATGTAGCTTAAAAATAGTAAATTTTAAAAATGCACTATTAAATAGTGCAATTTTAAAGTTTACCACATATTTTAACATGTAAAATTTTAATTTTTTTTTGCTTAAATAGTCTTAAATAGTCTATTTAAGCACTAGTGCTTCTTTACGATAAGAACAATAAATTTGTAATTGTTTTAAAATTGTTTTATAACAATATACATTTTTATTGTTATTTAATTACAATAACTTAATAAATAAAACATTTAGATTATCTATAAGAACACGTTAAAAAGAAATTTAAAAAGAAATTTATAAAGATTACCTCAGAAATAACAACTATGATTGAATACATTATTAAATTTATTTGATTATAGTATTCATGCAGGATGGTCATGCAGGATAGTAAAATTCTATATAAAATAAATACATCTGCTATCTATTTTTTATAATGTTTCTGATTGTTTTTAGTAAAATTTTGATCAGCTCACTAAAAGATTATAAAAATTGTATGTAATACTAAATCAGTTTTACATACAAATTTACGTAAAGTTTTACATAAAATATAAATATAAAATATACAGTTTTGATCAGTTCACTAAAAGATTTTGAAGGTAAACCTTATTTCTAGCAGCCCAACATTGTAAAAAGACTATATGTAGTAAGTTATTGTTGATACTATAGAATCAAGTGATGCTCTATAGTATGGATTAAAAATAAAAATGGTAATTTCCAACAAATAAATAAAAAGTGAAGGCCTAACGTTATTGCTATTATATATATATATATATATATATATATATATATATATATATATATATATATATATATATATATATATATATATATATATATATATATATATATGTATATATATATATATATATATATATATATATATATATATATATATATATATATATATATATATATATATATATATATACATATATATATATATATATTTATATAATATTTTTTTATATAAATAAAGTTTTTTTATATAAATAAAGCTTGGAAAGGTTAATATCTAACTTAATATCTCAAAATTGCATCTTAATTTTCTTTCTTATTTAATATTTTTGTGTTTTAGATATTTTATTAGAAAAATTTAATTAAATTGCACAATTATTTATATAATAGTATTTATAGTTAAACATATAATTCAGCAAAAATTAAAAATATAAAATGTTTTTAACAATATCTGAAATCATTTTTAAATCTGCAACGTACATATAACAATGTTTTCTAGATCTGAAAGCAATATATGTAGAACCACACCTTCTATTTTCTGAAACCATCTGCGGGCACTTCAATTGCAGGATATATGATCACCTATGGAATCAATTAGAGTTAATTGGAAATGAGCAAGTTGTACTGATGTAGGAGTCACTGCATACTCTATATGTAGATACATTCATACGTAGAAAAAGAGATAAAAATATATATATATTCTTTTTAGAAAAAACCTTTTTTACGTCATTGAAGTTCTGATAAAGTAATGTGAAAAAAAAGTTTAAGAAGAAAAAAGATATTTTAAAACAGTTTCTAATTAATGCCAAGTAGAGATTTAACTAATAAATCTTGATCAATAAACCTTTAATAGATGAAAAATAATACAAGTATCATTTCTTCACAGCAAAATCCTAAATCTTAGTCGATAGTTTAATATAGTCGATAGTTTATTTCTTGTTTTAAGAAACAAATTGCTGGATGAGAAATTTATTTCTTAAAACAAGCAATATGTTTCTTGTTTAAAAGAACTTGTTTTAAGAATTGAATGTCTTAAACTACGGACAAAGGTTTACAATTTTGCTGTATTCATATTTTCATTCTTTTGTATTAAAGCATTTATATTTGTGTTGTTAGGATTATGGTTGGCTATAATATGGAACGTTTAAAAAGTTCAAATCCACAAGCTATAAAGTAAAATATGGAATCTGGAAGCACTAAAAAAGCATTATATTGAATCTGGATACTATGTGAAGAGAAAAAATAGTAAATTAATTTAAATTTAATATAAATTTTTAAAGTTTATTTATATATATATATATATATAAAAATGTCATAATTATATTTATATTTTAATAAAAAGTTAAAAAGTTCGATTATTTTTTTTTTAACTTATTTTTATTATATTATATTAATATTGTTTTTATTGTTATTTTTAAACTTATAGTTTTGCTCGTGGTCTACCAATTTATTTATCGTCCATTATACCAAGAACGCAAGATGCGATCATAATGTTAATAGACCACTGGTGTTGATTCAAAGGTAAAAACAAATTTTTCAAAGCAGTTGAAGTTTATATTATAAGCATATAAAATGTTTGAAAAATGCTTATGCAAAAGCTTACACAATAATATGTAAGCATAAAAAAATTTAAAAAGAAAGAATAAGTTTATGCAAAAAAAAAAAAATAATAAGGCTCACAATATATGCTCATCTTTCTTAATTCCGCAAATTTTGCGCTTTCTACAGAAATTTCCGGCAGCTGATTTTCCAGAAATTTTCCTTTATTTTACAGAAAAATCAGTCACTTAACAGAAATATCTGTTAAAATACGGAAATATCTGTTATTACGATGATAGATAATTTCTGTAATTTATACGGAAATTTCCTTCAGCACTTTATTTTTCTGTAAAGTAACGGAAACTTTCTGGAAAATCTGCTGCCGGAAGTTTCCGTAAAAAACGCGATATTTTTTTTAAAAGTGTACTCGGTGTAGTTAAGATACTTTTAAAATATTATAGCGTCTGTAAGATATTTTGTTGACTACGACATATTTCCGTTAAATGTTCTGGTCTGTGAATTATAAAAAGACGAAAAGTATTAAAATGATAAATTTTGCGTAATTATGAAATATAAATGTTTGTAGCGAAAAAACCCAGACTGAAAATTCTTTTTTTAAATAAAGAATATCTTAAAATCACAATAGCTCGTTCAAATTTAATAAGATTTTATATTAATACGTTTTTTTTAGGTAAAATGAACATTATAGTTTAAGAATATGATCTGTTCTGATAGTTTATTGGTAATTTTCCATAATTATAAGTTCTTTCTTGGTTGGAATTCTAGTATTTTTTGTGAAAATTGATAGAAATATTGTGTTTTGACAACTATATAGAGTTAATATACGTCGGAACCGATCAGAACTAGGATCAGTAGTAAATTAAGAAACTTTTTCAAAAGATCTTAACTAAATTCATGTTAATGCCGATGAGCGGAATTGATCTAAAGACTCCAGAATAGTGTTCTTTAGATTCACTATTATGAGTAGTAAAAAGGTTTTGAAAATTATATAAAAAAAAGAAAAGTTTCTATAAATATTTTAAAAACATTAAGTAAAAAAAATTATGACATTTAAAGATCTTGTTTGGACATAATATGCTGACAAAACCATGTTAATTCCAAATAAAAGTATTCGAATATTTTGTAAATCGCATAAACTACACCAAGTAGGATAAAATTTTTTTTTAAAAAATGGGGAGGGGAACAACATAGTCCCTTCGTCGCCGCAATCAATTTATGTTGTTAAGTAACATTTTTTCACGGACTAATACCTAATTAATATTTTTAGTTTAAAAGTAAAAACTTTTAAATATTATTTAAAAATTTGCCTTTAAAATTAAAATAAAATAAATTTGCAAAATATATAAGTATTAAAAACAGAATTTGTTTTTGTAACTTTTGAGTTGTTTTATACTTAGAACCAATTTTGTTTTATTCTTTGGACTATATTTGCTTTATAATTTAAACTGTTTGTTTGTTTTATTTTGTTCTGTTTGTTATTTTGCTTTATTTGAAATAAAACAAATAAAAAATATTTAAAAATGATGTCGGCTTGTCACTAAATTTCTGCATTTAAATAGCAATTCAACGGCACTACGAAAAACATTTGATGTTTGGCCAAAAACACTAAAATTTCATAAACTTTACTCTCTTATATCTTTTTGTAGGCATAAGCAAGCACCTTTACGTTACGAAAACAAATTTACGTTAGCTTGACGTTGGTTTAACGTTTGTTGAACGTCAGCACTAACGTTGGTTAGACGTTGCTTTAAAGTTAGAAGTCAATGTCGTGTACTCTATAAATAAATACATTTATATATCATTTATGTTATCTAATAACAACTCTACAAATGTATATACATGGATATTCCCCAAACATTATTATTACAAATCATTCCGATTCCGAAACATAACCTGATGTTTCATTGTTTGCACAAGGGTAATTAGATGAAGCAACAATTGATGATCTCCGACGACCTTGACCTGCTTTTTCGAGACCATATTTTAAAACATGCATAATTTCTTTTTTAACATGATCTTGTGTAGTGTCTCCATGGATGATAAGAACAGCATCTAGACAATTAACAAGAATATAAGTTTAAATCAATGTTTCACACTGATTTCATTTTTTTGAATTTTCAAGAAAATTAATGCAAAAATTTGATTATGTAATAAAAATGATTTGCAATAAAAATGTTTTAAAATAATAACTCACCTGTCACAACCTCACACAACTTTAGTTGTTGAAATGAAGACTTTTTGGGCCGCTTGATATTGCTCTCCTTTTATTTTGTCCCTTCATATTAAAAAGGGCCAAAGCTTCATAGCTAAAAAACACTACAAACAAAATAACACACGACAGAATGTGTAGTATTCACGCACATTAAACATTTATATTTAAATTTACTGTTTTCGCAAAAAATGTTTATAAATATATTTTCAATACAACAATATGCTAAAAAATTAGCAACCTTTTAAATATATTTTTAACAGCTTCTTTTACACTTAGTTCACCAATTTTAGATAATTTCTCAACCTAGGAAACAAATTATTTTTAAAGTAATTATTTAAAACATACTAAAAAATGCGCCAATTTAGCTAGCTAAAGCAATAAGTGATTTAAATTACAAGCAATAGCTCACATAACTTTTAAACGTTATTTATAATATGTTTATTAACACTCATATTATAAATGTGTTTAAGTAATGGCATTTAAAAAATACACATATTATAAAAAGCGTTTCAAAAAAATCCAAATAACTTTAAATAATTATTAAAAGTAAACATAATCATTACACAATATATATATATATATATATATATATATATATATATATATATATATATATATATATATATATATATATATATATATATATATATATATATATATATATATATATATATATATATATATATCCATATATATATTATAAATATATATTTATATTTATATTTTATATATTATATATTTATATATGGTGTTCAAATGCATAGAAATAACTCATACCAATTCTAAATAAGAAGATTTTTCTTATTTTATTTTACGATCAAACTCTTTAACTTCAATTAAAGTTTCTAGTCTTTTTACTGATTCACTAAGAATAAACTTTTTGTCTTTTTTGCTGACAAATGCATTTCTTATTTTTGTCAATAGCGAAATAGTTTGAATTGAAACTCTAAAATTAAATTGTTCAATTAAATCTCAATACCCCCAGTAAACTAATGCTTACCCCTTTTACCTCCTATAAAAAATAAAAACTCAGTGTTAGTGTTACAATATGAAAGACGCTATGTACATTTTTATACAGGGTTTCAAAACTATTATCTATTATTCATTATTAACCATTACATTATTTTTATTATTATATTAAAATATAGGTAACTTAAAATAAATGTTAAGAATATAACATTTATTTTAAGTTACAAAGTCATTACTCACCTGCATCTGAAAGTGAAAATTTATTTATTTCATAAGAAACTCCGTCCTTTTGAGGTGGAAAAGTACTACTAAATTCCTCTACAAAATTAGTTCCAAAAACTTTTCCAAGTGTACTGCTAGTTGAAAGATTTGGGATATTGTTTTCATGATTTGTCAAATCCAAAGATCTATCTAAAGACCTGTGTTTAACTGCTTAAGTTTCATCAATGCACGAAGAACGTTTCAGAAATTTTGGTAGATGTTTTACAGCTTCTTGTTATTTGTCTACGAAAAAAAAATAATTTAAAGAAAAAAGGAAAAGAAAAACAGATAACCAAAAACAGATGTTACATTTATATTTAGTGTCTACTGCGTGTTCCTCATCTTCAACACTTGTAGCGAACTCATCTCATTCATTGCAAAATTCAGCAGATCCTTCAAATGTTAATAACAATATATATATATATATATATATATATATATATATATATATATATATATATATATATATATATATATATATATATATATATATATATATATATATATATATATATATCAGGGGCGGATCTAGCATTTTTAAAGAGTGATGCGAAATTTTTTTAATAGAACTCCTTCCCCCCCTCTCTTAACATCCCTAGGGTTTAAGTAAAGTCAATTTTAAAAGTGGAGGGATTGAAAAAGGCTTGGCAAGTGTGGGGCTGACATGGCCCGGACAGCTTTTTTTCAGGAGTGACGCAGCTCTTTATGTCATTAAATAGTAACTAAACTTGTTTTGTATTGCTTTTGTACTACCTATTTTTTAAAAAAAGTTTCATAAATATTGCCTTGGCTAATCGTTCATAAATTAGACATGTAAGTCTAATTTACTTAACAAAGTGCACCAACGAGAAGGTAAGCCATAGGACTTTGCACTTTATCTGTGTACTATTATTTTGCCGAAGGTTAGCCTTCAATTTCTGGGTACATTCTTTTTCTTGAGAGGTACGTAATGTGAAGTAATGTTGCCTTACGTAAGCCCTCCATTTCTGAATTCTTACCTTTTCTTGATAAGCTCGTAATGTAAAGTAATATCAAGTTAAATAATATTAGAACGATAAAGGTTACCCCTCCTTTTCTAGAATTTACGAAAAGAGTTATTAATCTTGTTTAAGGTTAACCCTGCATTTTTAAATTAATTAAATTATTTATTAATTTTTATAGTAATTTGTTATTAAAGATCAATTAATATAAAATAAATATAGGCTAACAGTCTCTCTCTCTCTTTCTTTCTGTCTCTCTCTCTGAAATACTTCTTTCACATTCACAAGATGTTATTGGAAATGTTCCTAATATATAAATAAACACTTTTTTTCTTATATTTGGAAAACTTCTCATGCCAATGGCCTTTAAACTACTTGCAACTGTTATACAAATATTTGACTGGTTTTTCAAAAATAATTTCCATAAATCTAAGTCAGCATATATTGAAGTAAAAACGAGGAATATTTAAAAAAATAGAAATTTTGAAATTCATAAAAATCAGATTTCCATGGTTTCTTAGCTTGTATTCTGGACAATAAAGTTGAAGGAACTGGTGCTAGACCTTTATAGTTAAACATACCATTTTCTAGAAACCTATTATCTAGCTCATTAATAAAATGTTCAATTAATGGAGAAGTAATTTTATGATTAAAATATTCACAAAGTGTATTAGTAGGATAATACTGGTAAACCAGAAAAAAACGCAATCTAGGTCTCATTTCTTGGATATCAAGAGTAAAATCAAAAGCTAAACTAAAAGCAATAACTACTACAACTAAACTAAGCCTATGTACAATAAACAAAAAAAGCATTATGTTTTAGAGCTTTTATTACAGAAGCAACTCCTTTATATTCACATCCCATAAATCCTGTACCATCATACCCTTGGCCTCTACAACTTTGAATATCAAGTCCAAAAAGTGTGTTGAAGTACATTAAGTAATTTTAATAAATTTAGAGATAGACTAAGACCAGATGTACCAGACTTGCAGTCAATAAATGTTAGAAAACCTTCGCAAATCTCATTATTTGAATTTACATATTTTAAAAAAAGTGACATTTGTTCAGTATTTGAACAGTCAACTGCTTCATCACAAAGAATTTAAAAAAAAAAATTGAAATGCTTAACATATATTACTAAATGTACCTCAATTGTTTTTCCACGAGCATCAATAAGTTGGTTTAGGGTAATTTTTATAAAGGTTTTTGATATAAAAGTTTTTGTAAAGGTCTTTGAAAAAATGGTTTTGATATAAAGGTCTTTGATAAAAAGATTTTTACAAAGGTCTTTGATATAAAGGTTGCATTTTTTTGGAGTTGAAAAAAGGTGATTAGCTAATATTTGATCACCAGCATTTACGCAAATTTTTAAAAGCTGTAAGAAGTTACCTCTTCTAACCAAAATATATCATTTTTTTAATTATTGGAACAAATTTTTTTCAGTTATCAAATAAAACAAGAAATAAATCAACCCCAATAACATTATTTGGGGTTGCAACATGAACATAATGCATTGTAAAACATAAATTTTTTCATGTTTCTTAAAATCATTAACAATATTACCACATTCTTGATGACGCTTGAAAACTCAATTTAGTATTCCAGACTTGTTTGGAATACTAGCACATAGCAAAGTATAAAGAAAAACAGTAAACTCAATGTTCATTGCTAGATTAAGCTAACCAAAAAAAGTGGCTGAGTTATTCAATTTTAAATTATCTTTTTGTATTAGTCTATTAAATATCTATTGAACAGATATTGGAAAAACAAATATGAATTGGACAAAATACTTTATTTACTATATCTAACAAAATTGCATCGTTTTTACCAGCTGTTAAAAGTTTACCATGGGTTAGATATGTTGAAACATCATATAAAGTACTTGAGTTTTTATATAAAGGAATAATAACTGAATCGGAATCTAATCACTTAAATATAATAAAGAATCTACAGAAACTTCAAAAGGCAACTCAATAAAAGCATTGTCTTTTTTAAAGTTAGTTTTAAATTGAATTTGGACATGTTTTGCAGAATTAACTTTTTTTGTCAAAGAAGAGATACACTTAAATTTAGCGGTGCAAAAGGACTGATGCACGCGCATCAGTGGCGACACCCTATATCCGCCCCTGTATATATATATATAATATATATATATATATATATATATATATATATATAATATATATATATATATATATATATATACCCAGCAAACATATCAGCGTTGAATCAACGTTGAAAAGCAGTTGCAGCGTAGAAAAAGCGCTACAGTCACAAAAACAACGTGTTTTCAACGTTAAATCGATGTCTGTTTTTGTATACTAAATTGTGGAAAATTTAAAAAAATTTAAAAAAGCGTGGAAATTGTAACGTAATTTAGCTTCTCAAAATAAAACGTTTATTCAACTTGAAATCAACTTACGCAAAAAGCCACTTTAAAAACGTTTTAAAGCACATGCTTTATCAACGTTAAAAACAAACCGCTTTTTAAACGTTACATTTTCAACGTTGAATAGGCGTATAAATTTAAATGTATCTTATTTTCTCAAAAAATTGCGTTTATTCAACGTTGAATAAAAGTACGCAA